TCAACCAGCTCTAGAACTGTCCCCCATTCATTCTAGTAACATTCCCAGTGAGTGGTTTCCCTGGACACTCAAAGGGACCTTTGTGTCTAAAGCAGGTTTGTGCCGCACTCCTTTTGCTGCCATAGCACTTCCCAAACACCCCCCGCCAGGCCAGCCCTACCCCGCTACCACCCGCCCAGCTGGCCCTGCCCCGCCACTGCCCTCCCAGCCCTGCCACTGCTTGCGCCCCAGCTTTCTCTGCAAGGACTGCTGCTCTGCTCGCCTCACTCCCTCCCTGACTTGCTGATCATCCCCACCTGGCCCCTGCCCAATTTGTCCCAGCATCTCAGCTGCTGTCTCCAGGCAGCTTCCTAAGGAGTCACCCTTTTCCATCTTCCTGCTGCCCGGCTGCAAGGGCCTCGAGATCCTGTCTGTCTCCAGAAATCCGGCAGCTCTGGGCACCTGGCCAAGCCCTGGGACCGCGGCTCTGCTCTCGCGCTGGCCTTTGTTTGGGATCTCAGGGACAACAACAAAGCTATTTCAGTCCTTAAGGCTCTTGTGAAGGCCCTCGCCCTTCCGCAGCCTCAAACAGGATGGCAAGAAACCAGCGTGAGGCCCACCCATGCAGGGTGCCTTCCTCTGCAGCCCTGGGCCACGGGGTCCTCCCCAGAACCTTCAACAAGGGCTCCGCACCCCTCCGGGAGCTGTATACGATCCCAGAGTTCAGGGACTCCAGGCCATGGCAAAATACATGTGGGGGCAAGGGGAATCTCAGACCCCCAGAGCCTGACAGGATGCTCTGAAATGACTTCCCCTCCCCACCCCCCACAATGACATGCATTGCAGCCCTGGCACAGAAAAGCACATAGGCTGATGTTTGACTGCAAACGCTCAACGCTGCAAAAGCAGGCTGAGAGAGAGGGCAAGACTGTGGTGTTTACCCAGAGCCGCAAGGGCAGCTCCAAAGGGATGGGTCTCCCAGAGCAACAGAGAACACAGGGGAAGCTGCCTGCTCCCACGCCAGGTCCAGCCAGCTCCTTAGGCAGCATGGCTGCCTTCTCCCCCTGCCACCTCCGCATTTGCAGCAGTGTGTGCCCTGGGGTGCTGTAGGCTTTAGCCCTTGTGTGGGGTGGGGAAAGGCCAGGCACAGTTTTGTCCTAAATTAAGGGCAGAGCCGCCCCTTCGCTTGGGCTGGGCAACTTGCTGGAGGTTTAAGGAAACAAGACTCTGGCACCATCCCATTGGGGTGACATCCCTGCAGCCCTACATGTGCCGGTGTAACAGAGCCCAGACCCAAGGGGTTGAGATCAGTGTCAGGCCAAGGACCTTACAGTGATTTCCCACGGACACTGGAAACTCCCAGGTCATATCTATTTCACCAGATTCAACCCAGTTTGAATTTTATTTTCCATTTCTTTGCGTGTGCAATTTTTGGGGAAAAAATATGCATTTTTATTTTGACATTTTCATTTTTTTGTTTTTTCCTTATTTTCTTTTAGGAACACAGGACCGCGTCATCAAGTCCAGTCCCTTGCTATCACAGGCAATCCCGCCAGATCAGCCCCTTCATAAACTTATCAAGCACCATCTTCCCCTCCGCCCCCCCGGCATTTTCAGGGGTGGATGGTGAATGATTTTAAGAACATAAAAACAGCCTTACTGAGGCAGATCCATGGTCCATCTTGCCCAGTATCCTGTGTTCCCACAGTGGCCAGTGCCAGATGCTTCAGAAGGAATGAACAGAACAGGGCAATTATCAAGGGATCAATCCCCTGTTGTCCACTCCCAATTTCTAGCAGTCAGAGATTTAGGGACACCCAGAGCATGGGGTTGCGCCATGACTGTCTGGGCTAATAGCCATTGATGGACCTATCCCCCATGAACTTATCTCATTCTTTTTAAACCCACTTATACTTCCTTCACAACCTCCCCTGGCAACGAGTTCCCCAGGTTCAGTGTGTGTTGTGTGAAGGAGGACTTCCTATTGTTTGTTTTAAACCTGTTTCCTATTAATTTCATTGAGTGACCCCTAGTTTTCATGTTATGTGAAGGGGTAAATAACACTTCCTTATTGACTTTCTCCATACCAGTCATTATCTTATAGACCTCTATTATATCCCCCCCCTTAGTCGTCTCTTTTCCAAAGTGAACAGTCCCAGTCTTTTTACTGTCTCCTCAGATGGAAACTGTTCCATATTCCTAATCATGTTTGTTGTGCTTCTCTGTACCCTTTCCATGTTAATATACCTTTTTTGAGATGGGACAACCAGAACTACACACAGTATTCAAGGTGTGGGTGTACCATGAATTTATACAGAGGCAATATGATATTTCTGTCTTATTATCTATCCCCTTCCTAACATTCTGTTTGGTTTTTTGACTGCTGCTGCACATTGAGCAGATGTTTTCAGAGAACTATCCACAATGACTCCAAGATCTCTTTCTTGAGTGGTAACAGCTAATTTAGACACATCATTTTGTATGTATTTTCTAAAAGATCTGGGGGGTGAGGAAGAAAAGGAAACAAGAAACAAAAATATTTTAAATCACTTTTTTAAAAATCACAACAATGGACAATTTTCCATTTAAAAGAATTATATTTGAAAAAAATGGCCATTTTTCAATGAAAAACTTGTTGGAAAAATGTCACCAGCTCTTACTTAGACCCCACTGGGAGAGGAACCTTAAGCAAAGAAATCCAGACATGGATTCACTTGAGAGACGGGCCAGTTCACAGTGCATGTGTTCTGAGCATCCCTGATATCGACAGCCTTCCAGGCCACCATAAATGCCGTCCCTAACTCCTCATGGTCACTGTGCTCAGGATAGCACCTGACATGCCAGATGGCTACACACTGCCCCGGCTGACTCACTGTTAGAGATGTGGGATCCAGTTCTCATGTACACCAGGAATGCCACGTGCACAGGGGTTCTCCCTGCCAGAGTACAGCCCTGGTCCCAGCCGCTGGCATGGAGGGACCTGCCAGGAATGAGGAGGGTGGGGAAGGGGTGAACTGCACTATAGCTATTCTCTGCTCCCCAGGGCACAAAGAGGATAATAGGAGACACAGCATAAATTAGAGCAGTTTTAATTTAAGGGGGAAGAAGCAGAAACTCAAGGGAAATCCTGCCCATGAAACATCTTGTGTGGCAGAGACAGTGTGGGTTATTTGCTGGTGCAGAGATTGGTGTAGAGGTGTTTCCTGTTCACATGCTCAGGGCTTAAATCTAATCTAAGACATGGCCAAGTAGATTGTTTAAACACTCAGTACAGCCGCTGTGCACTGAAGCACAATAGCACAGGTCTGATTTCATGCCTCAGTGAGAGCTGAACCTGGAGAACAAGCTGGGGCAATCGCTTGGGAAATGGTTTCGCTAACAGCTGAGGCCATGTCTGCCGAAGTGTCCCTTGCCCTGCCCCAAATCACCCTACATGAAAGAAGCAGCAGGGAGTGAGTACCAGGCTGCCCCCCCCAGCCCAGCCCAGGGCCTAGGCCATTTGGGGACTCGCTCATGGAGATCGGACTGTCTTTGGAAATGCCAGTGCAGTTCTGCGCTGAAAAGTGACACCTTAGGACTCCTTGCTTAGGTGTACAAGGGAAGGCTGTTTTCTCTGACTGCCGACCCTGCAGCCCCATCCTGGGACCAGAGAGTCACGCCAGGGATCTTCCTTGGCTGCGCCATCACCAGGAAATAAGGTTCTGCAGGCCAAGTTCTGCCCTCAGAGACCCCCGCGCCCCCCCCCCCCCCCCCCGCCCCCATACTGCTGGCTTGGCACATCGCAGACCTGGTAATGGTGCTGGACAGACCCCCCCACACACCTCCCCCGGAGTCGGAATAGCAAGCACAAGAGTCCCCCTGAATCCGATAGACACGAAGAGCAGCTTCGGCGGGAACACTTTGCTGAGAAGGGGCCGTTTACATGGTAAAGCACCGAACCTGGCTGAGAGATCCCGTGCATGGTTGACCTTTCACACATGAACATCACTGGGCAGGCTCCCTCCCTGAGGTTTTATTCCCGGTTGCCTCCTGATTGCTTCCCATCAGCCTCGTGCCACCCCCAGCCCACACTATCTGCCCTCAGGCCCCAGTCCTGAGACCCCAACACACTATGAAGGATGCAGCAGAAGTGCAGTGGAAGCTGCCTCAAATTCCTGTTGACTCCAGATTTGGAGGCCCCCTCTGTGCGCTGAGTTTGCGGGTCTCAGTTGGGTTCCTAGCTGGTTGTCACTAATAACAACTGATCCTAACCAGCCCCCTCGCTGGCTGTCTCAGCAGAGGGGCCAAGCCCTGACTGGGCCATGGAGACTAACTCCCTTCTTCCCTCTGGATTGGGGCCAGTTCCCCCTTGCCTGGCCCTGGTGAAGTCAGGTGCAGTCATGCAAAGCGAGTGCCATGTGGATGTAAAATACCACCAAACGAGAATGTGTGCGGGCAGTCTAAATGGCTCCCCAAACCGCAGGACAACACAGAATCACACCCCAGGGAAGGCTTCATGGGTGGAGACAGTCTACTCAACTGTGTCTGTTCTGGGGAGGAGTGGGGGGAAGGGTGGGTGCAGAGGTGGCATTCCTGCACCTTTCCCATTGAACTCTGCCCCATTACGTGCTGGATTGAATTAGGCTAGACTAGGAATCCTAGAAGTATATCCCAGTCAAACACATCTCAGAGGATCCTGGCTGCTTAAGCCCCAGAAACCACAATTGTCCATAGAATCCTTGGGAACGGCTTTCCACGGTCTGGCACCAAGCACTTGCCAGTGTCCAGGTCAATTTGCTCTGCTAGTCAGTTACGGAGTGAGTTATTGCTACAGCAGTGGCCCAAGGGATGAAACAAAGTCTTGCTCCAACCTGACTAACCTTCATTCTTCAGTGCCAGCTCCCTGCACCCAGAGCCTGTCACAAGAAACCATCCCCTCCCCGCCCTTCCCCACAGGCAGAGCCCTGCCAGCACCTTGGCACGCACACCTGCAGCTCTCACAAACACTAGGCAAGGCAACACGAAGCAGCTTCAGTAGTTACCCATCGGATGCCCTGTATCCTGGGCAGGCTGCCCGCCTCGCCCTCCAGCTGGATCTGGTAGCTGTAGCTCCGGAACAAGTGCATCTTCTTCAAGAGCAGATGCCCTTCAGCAGTGGGGTCTCCAAGCCCACCGGGAGGCGTTGGCAAGTCCTCGAGGAGAGGTCCGACATGCCACCTGCCCTGCCTGCCCCAGGCCACCTGTGTGCAGAGAGAAACCCTTGGCGTTCAGCCTGGGCCCGGGGGAGGCTCTGGCCAACCCCCCCCCCAGGCTTTCCGCTTTCTCTGCCCTCCACCTCCCCAGCGTGAATCGCAGCCAGCAGCGAACTCGCTCCGTGTCCCGTCCCCTCTCGGTGCGTCACCCACCTGCATGTCCCGCGGCTCAGCCTGGCGCGGGGTCCGGCTCCCAGGTGTCCCGCCGGCTGCCCCAGCCCGCGGAGAGCCCCACCGCTCCCGCCTTTTGGGTCGGGGTGCTTAGGACCCCGGGGGTGCCCTGGGCAAAGCCATGGCTCCCGGGCACCAGTGGGGAGCCGGGATCCTGCTCCCTGAGCCCTGCCTCCGGCTGGAGACACGCTCCGTGCCGGGCCGCTGCGCCTCCCCTCCGCGGGGAACTGGGAGCGAGCGCAGGAGACGCTCCAGCGCTTGGCACAGGACCCGAAACTCCACAGCTGGAAAAGCCTCCAGCCCGGGCGGCGAGCGCCACGCCCCCGGAGCGGCGCGCCCCAAGCCCGTGTAAACGCTCCCGCGCGGCGCAGCGCGTCTAGGGACCGGGCGCTGGGGCCAGGCTGAGCGGGCCTGGGCCTTGGCCCCATCTACGGGCCGGGGATTCCCCTTCCGCGCCAGGGGTCGGGCGTGGGGCTGGCCCCTGGCTCGCCCCGTGGGAGGGGGAGGACGCCGCGCCCCCTCCTGGGCTCTAGGGGTGGGAGCCTCGCCCTAAACTTTGCGCAGGTGAAATTCCGGCCCGAATTTCAAAGCAGCCGGAGCCGCACGTGCCCTGCAGGACACACAGTGACCCCCGAGCTAGTGACCAGAGCCACTCCCGTGGCTCCCGCTACATCTTTTTTGACCAGGAACATTTGTAAAAAGCCTTTTCAGCCACAGCGAACCTCCATCCGGGTCACCATGTCCCTGGGTTTTGCTGAATCAACAAACCCCTGAACTTTATCAAAACACTTTTCCAACCCCAGAAGTGTTGTTTCCATTTTCCCATTAATTTTGTTCTGGAAATTGAAAAACAAAATGCCCAGCGTCCCATGAAACAAAACTGGCCGCTGGGCTAGGGACCGAGCGCTCCCCGGGCTGACGGGGACAATTCACTCTTGTACTCCAGCCAGTGCTGGGTATTGAACGCAGGGACTCACCAGAGTGCTCTCATGGCCGGCTGGCTGGCGGCCTTTTACCCAGGTGGGACTGTACCAAATAGCCAAGCGACGTTAAGACCCAGATTCTCAGCTGTGGGCGCAAAGGCCCCGTTTGTGTCGCTCTAACTAATCCTGGAGGGAGCCAGTTCTGTGAGAGAGATTCTTAGCTCGTGTCCCCTTGCTCCTGGTAACAACCCCAGGGTGCCCTTTAAGCCCAAGGCTAGGAGCGTAGCAGCCAGCAGCCCTGCCTCCTTGCCACGCAGGAACCCCATCTATGGTGCTGAGCCGGCCCCCATCACTGCAGTATCTAGAACCCTGGGCTGAGATGCTACTCTCTGGTTCTTGCTCTCTTAACAACCAGACGCAGATGCTTGGTCTCCCTGACCCGAAATGACAGATGCTGGCTTTGGCCTCCTGCCAAGTGAGTGCAATGCTCATGCCAAGGACCTACTTCTGATCTCACTCACACCCGTTTTACATCAGAATCACTCAGTGACATCAGTGCTGCCATTCCCACCGGACACCAGTGGGCGTGGGAGGAGGCTGGGCCCCGAGCGTGCAGCAGATCAAATCACTGAGCTGAGGGAAGGGCCAGCATGTGGGCCAATGGGCTGGCGCTGAAGCCTCGTCGATCTCTGGATGTGTGATGAGACTGGACTTTTGGACTGTCTCTACTCCTCCCCTGGGCAGACACGAGCTCATACAGCCCCAAGCACATGGTCTGGGTGGGAGCTGCCATATTTCACCCCTTCCTGTTGTTCCTGCTGTGCCCTTCTGTTTTCCTGCCGTGTCATTTATGGTCATTTTGCACATCTCTGGCACATTACTCTGCTTTGTTGCTTACAGCCCTTTCCCCAGTTTACACCAGACGTTGGGCTCAGGAGAGTTGGGTTCAATTCCCAGCTCTGCCACAGACTCCCTGAGTGCCCTGGACCAGCCCCTGCATGGCTTTGTGAAATGGGGGCTCTGACCTTCCTGCTTCCACTCTCGGTCTTGTCTAGTGAGAGTGTGCTCTTTGGAACAGGGACTGCCTCTCACCGTCTGTGCTGCACCTGACGCCAGGGGGTCCCCATCTTGGCTGAAGACTCTAAGTACTACTACGATACAAAGTAACAACCACCCACTATCAATGCTGTCAATTACGCCTCTGCATAACCTTGCTCTGAGATGCTGCACCTTCTTACACCAGGCCTGGAGTCTGCCCTTGAGTGCTGTCAGTGTGTCTGGAACATCTGAGTCAAAAGTCCAAGGCTTCTGTGTAATTTTCTTCACTGTGCATCCCTTTAAGGAGCAAATCCATGCAGATTCCTGGCACCCTTCAGGTCCTGAAGGCTTCTTAGATCTCAGAGCACTTCATATCCGAGCACATCTATCACTCACCCACCACTCCCTTGCAGCAACATCTGGGCAGAATGTGGCCGCTACTCTGGGTGGGCCATGACAGAGCCAAGGGGTGGGTGAGACTGCAGTGAAGCTGGAATCTGAACACTGACACAGGCACCTGCTGGAGGCAGCTGGCAATTTGTAGTTAAGTGTGAACCTTGTTGGCATTTAGACTCTGAGGTGAAGGGGAGCAGATCACACAGCTCGTGATGCTGTTATTTCAGTGTCCCTGGCTGAAGTCCCATGAGGGATACAGGGGATGCGGGTTACACTGAAGCCCCTGCAGCAAAAGGGGGAGAGTGGAGGACAGTGTAGGAATTGGCACAAAAGTCGCAATTTCTTGGTGCTGCAGTTGTACCTTGGCTCGTGGACCCTGGGATGCGCACGCACATGTGCACACACACACACACACGCATGCACTGGGTACCCCCCCAGAGATCCAGTTGATCCCCCAGCAGTGTGTGTGAGTGGTGGCAGTCCCCCTCCCATCCGTGGACTGTAACTCATGTTTTCCCCCAATGGGGGTTGGAAGAGGGTCCGGACTTGGGGTGAGCAGGACACACTGACACTGACACTAGAGAGAGCTGCAGCATTCAGAGCCCAGCCCCACGGTCCTGCTGTGAACAGAGCCTACATCCCTGACCTAGCTGGGGTGAGGATACGCCCTCCACCTGCAAGCAGACAGCTCAGCCACCTCAAACTGCAGCACCGGGGGGGCCTCGGAGAAGGACTACTGCTGGGACTGAGCCTTCTGGGGCAGGACTGCACTGGAGGGAGCCCTTCTAGGGACTGAAGGGAAGGACACCATGCTTTACCCCTGCAGGTCATCATCATCGGCAGGTGGCGCTGGAAGCACGTGCTCTCTGCTTCACTGACTCAGCACAGTATGGGATGGCCCCTGGCATTGCCACCCTTGAGAGCCCTTCAGATGCCAGGGGCAGAAAGCAAGGCTCTAAATCCAGCCTGTTTAATATGGGCCTCCCTGCCCCAGCCCCAGCAATTTGGCAAACCTTTGCCCTCTCTGCTTCGGCCCAATCCCAGTAAGGATGGGCCCGAGTCCCCCTACCTGGCACCTACTGTGTTATTGACACCAGTGGAGTGCAAGCCATAGGTGAATCCAGTGTGCACATGGACAGGTGTGAGGGAAGAGTTCTGACTGGGTTGTGTTTTACACCCACTGTAAACTGGTGTAAATTACACATGAGGTGCAGGGCTGGGAAGGGCCAACATTGCCTCACAGCTCTTTTGTGCCACGAAGGTTGGTGACTCAGGTGCGTAGACCAGGCCTCAGGGAATACCTCCAGGCTTCCAAGCTGGGGCCTCTATGCCAAGCAAAGAACTGGCTGTGCCAGCTCTGCCTATGTCCACAGCTGCCCCAGGTGCAGGGTATGTTCTGTGGGAGGGCATGGACCAGGGGTGTGGCCAGGATATTCTTGCAGGCTGGTGACTCTGTGCCCTGAAATGGTCCATAGGGCCTGCATAGGGTGACCAGATGTTCCCATTTTATAGGGACAGTCCTGATATTTGGGGCGTTGTCTTATATAGGTGCCTATTACCCCCCACCCCCGTCCCGATTTTTCACACTTCTGGTCACCCTAGGCCTGCACCAGGAGTCCCGTTGGTTCCCTAGGAGCCCGTGAGTAAAGGAAGCACAAACCTCCTTCCCTTCTCCCTGTGCTGGCACTAGCGTCTTTCCCGGATGGATCCAACCGAGTGTAAATCACTGTCATGCCAGTGGTGCTGTGAGTGCCCCCAGCAGGAGACCTCTCCACTAGGCATCAAGCAAACACATTTCCTAGCGGAGTCTTGGTTTTGTTCACCACTCGCCTTCTCTCTATTTAAATCGCTGCAGAATCCTTCCCCACCCCAGCACCACCAGCATAACCCTGCAGCAGCTGGGCGGGGTTCGTAATGCTGACTCAGCCATTAGTACAGAAATACACTAAAGCATTCATTAACTGATTATTGTTATTCCTATTATCTGTGGTGTCAGGTGTGCGACAGCCCCAAACATTGCACTAGCTGCACCGTCCTGCCCCAGCCAGCCCCTCCTGCCCCTAATGCAGCCCTCACCCATTGTACAATAATCCTTTAATGCTGTTCTTCTCCCGGCTCTGCTTCAGCCTCAAAGGCACAGGGAAGGTTCTGCAGCAACCAACAGCACCCGTATTTGTTGCAACATGAAAGACATGGCAAGGGGGCCTCCTCCCCTGGTGCGTTTGCCATGTCAGAAAGCCCTGCCTCCAGCCTGCACCATGGGCGGGCCTTAGAAAATAGCCATGCAGCATTGTCTCCCGAGGAGCCCCCTCACCGAGTGAGCGCCCCCAGGGGAGCAGAGGGAACTCTGCTCACCT